TTATCGCTACCTGAATGCCAGGCTTTTCCTCTCCTGCCCTGTTATAGGCTATCAGCTCTAAACTAATTAGAAAGCAGTGGAGGAGATGTTTACAAAATATGATGCAGGTACTGAGCAATTAGAGTAACAGTACCAAAGTCCGGATAGTACTCTGCTATCTACATAAATCAACATTTGAATAAGATAAATACAACCTTCACACAGTGCCCAAGAATATTATCCCAACAGCACCTTAGGCTGGCACACCCCATCTCCACCTCTCACCTCTCCACCAGAGACCAGATTCTAGCTGCACACCGCTGCATCTAGGCTTACATGAGTTCTGGGGTATTGAACTCATGCATGGTGCTTTACTCACTAAGCTGTTTCTGGAGTCCCCAATGCAGCCCTTCAGATGTGTCTCCTGTCTCGGCCTCTGCAGTAGCTGGGCCCACAGGCAATTTCCATAGGCAGAGGAAATGTTCTTAACCTGACAGAAACTGTAGCCACTGACCCTAGTAAGTTCTGGGCATTTGGGTGAATAACGCTAGGGAGGTGATGGTGCCTAGTTCACAGGTCAGATGTGCATGCTGGGAATCAAGTGTCGCCTCACGGTGGCGAACAAAGTGGCAAGGAAAAGCCACTTTGATCCCTGAGCATGAGGATCAGAAGAAGCCTGAGTGGTTGTGTGTGTGTGACATGACCACAATCCTGTCTTGGCCACGATGCCTCACACCCAAGAAAGTGGCAAAACCTTCTGCCATGAGGCTCAGGGAACTGGCAGAGCTGGTCTGGTCTGGATGATGACAGTGTATGCAAAAATTAGCAACCATAGTATGTTAGTTAGGGTTACCATGATGAAGGGCACTCTTATAAAGGACAACATTTAATTGGGGCTGGCTTACAGGTACAGAGGTTCAGCCCATTATCAAGGCAGGAAGCATAGCAGTGTGCAGGCAGAAATGGTGCAGGAGAAGGAGCTGAGAGTTATACATCTTGATCTAAAGGCAGCCAGAAGGAAAATGTCTGCCAGGCAGTGGTGGCGCACGCCTTTAATCCCAGCACTTGGGAGGCAGAGGCATTCGGATTTCTGAGTTCGAGGCCAGCCTGGTCTACAGAGTGAGTTCCACGACAGCCAGGGCTACACAGAGAAACCCTGTCTCGAAAAACAAAACAAACAAACAAAAAAAAAGAAAAGAAAAGAAAAAAGAAGTCTTCCAGGCAGCTAGGAGGACAGTCTCAAAGCCCACTCCAAAGTGACACATGACACATTTCCTCCAACAAGGCCGCACCTAATAGTACCACTCCCTATAGGCCAAGCACATTCGAACCACAACACAGAGCTTTCTCCTCTGAGGTCTCCACAGCCTGAGACCACTCCCTTACAGAGACCTCCGTGGGATCTGCTAAACTACTTTGCTCAGCTGTACACCACAAGCCTTCCTCCTCTATTTCAATGAATAAGATAAATGCTCTGAATATGTTAGTGGCACTTGTTGGTACAACTCCAGTAAAGAGCATGGACCACCCATGCTCTCTGAGCATGATCCCAGCCTCTCTGTGTCTGTGTGTCTGTCTTTTCTTCATTCCCTCATGGTCCCAGGGAAGTTTCCAGGACTAAGTAGTGCAGGATTGGTTCTCCTACCCATTAATCATGACTTAAAAAAATACCCACAGCTGCTGAGATGGCTCAGGAGATAAGTGTGCTCTTCAAGCATTTGGGCCTGGGTTCAAATCTTCAGTAGCTGCATAAAAAGATGGGCATTGCTGAGCATGCACAGAACCTCAGTATTGGGAGAGTGGAGACGGTGGATCCTGACAGCTTACAGGCCAGGAGGCTAGCAGAAATGGAGAGGGCCAGAGATAGACTCACCAGGAGGAGATGGAGCACAATGGGGGAAGGCATGGTGCACACACCTCTGAGGTGGTCTGGAAGTGGATCGTTTTAATTTTTCTAGGTATATTTAGTTTATTTTATGTGTACGAGTGTTTTGCCCGAATGTATGTTATGTGCCCATGAGCGTGGCCTGCAGAGGCCGGAAGAGGGAGTCTGATCCTCTGGAACTGGAGTTACAGACGGTTATGAATGGCCATGTGGGCGCTGGTCAAATCTTTGCAGGAAGTGCTCTTAACTGACGAGCCATCTCTCCAGTTCTAGATGAGTCTAGAACTGAAGGTACTTTCTGACCAAAAAACACCATCAAATTGCTTGGTTCAGCAAGATCTGGTGGTACCCTTGTCATCCTGGCACTTGTGGGAGGGACATAGAAGGATCATGACTTTTAAGGTCATTCTGGGCTATCTCACAACACTTAGGAAAATTAAAAAAAAATTACCTAATTCCTTTCTTATTCATTTATTTACACGTTTACACCCATTCACGTGCACCACAGCATGAAATATGGAGGACTGCTTTCATGAGTCAGTTTTCTTCTTCTACCATCTGAGGTCCCAGGAGTTGAACTTAGGTCGACAGCCTTTGTGGCAAGTACCTTCACCCGCTGAGCCTTCTTGCCAGCCCCTGTTTCCACTTTCTGCTGCCATTCCTACTCATGGTGGTGCACATCTGTAACATCTACACTCAGGAAGCTGAGTTGGAAGGCTGGCCTTACAAAGACCAAATTGAGCTGCAAAGTGAAACCCTGTCTCATAAAGAAAGGAAGTAAAGCGAGAGGAACAGGGAAGGAAGGGGAGTGGAGGAGAGGGAAAGGAAGTGGAAACCTTTAGAAACACAACCTGGACGCTATGGTTATGCCTGTATCTCATTGGCTAAAGCCTAGTCACATGGTTGTATGTAGCTGCAAGGAAGCCTGACAAGTATTTTTGGTATAATAAAAGAAAGCAGAGACTGACGTCACCATGACTAAGGTACTGTTTGCGTCTAGGATTTACTTCCTACATGACTGACTCAGTCACATCATGGTTTACCTGAGGGTGAAGAAGTAAGGATGGTAGTCAGAAACTTGTGTAGTTACCTGTCGTGTGGCTGTGACAAAATACTTAAATTGCCAAAGCTATTTAATTAAGAGTTTATTTTGGCTCACAGTCAGAGGCACTGTGGTGGGGAGCACACGGTGGGAGGAGCTTGGCTCACAGAGGCACTGTGGTGGGGAGCACATGGTGGGAGGAGCTTGGCTCACAGAGGCACTGTGGTGGGGAGCACATGGTGGGAGGAGCTTGGCTCTCAGTCAGAGGCACTGTGGCGGGGAGCACACGGTGGGAGGAGCTTGGCTCTCAGTCAGAGGCACTGTGGTGGGAGCAGACGGTGGGAGGAGCTTGGCTCACAGAGGCACTGTGGTGGGAGCACATGGTGGGAGGAGCTTGGCTCTCAGAGGCACTGTGGCGGGGAGCACACGGTGGGAGGAGCTTGGCTCACAGTCAGAGGCACTGTGGTGGGAGCACATGGTGGGAGGAGC